CCCCCCCCCCCCCCCCCCCCCAAATTAAATTCAAAGCAAGAATCCAAAGTACATTAAAATCAACATCAGGAATAATTCAATGTTTGCCCACTCCATAGAACATGAAAATGCCTTGTGTAGCTAGTGTGGGCCATGTGAAGAAGGCAAATGATCCAATGGCAGTCGCGTGTGTATACAGTGCATATATGTTGGATTGTCTGAAAATTTTAATTATTATTATTATTAATAATAATATTCAAGGAGTGGTGGGGATCTGAATAATGGTTGGGTGGCAACTAATCCATTTTGTTTGGGGAACTAATTGACAAAACAATCTGATATAATTAAGTAATTTGTTTTCTTGTTAGCTTATTATATCAGGCATGCATTAAGTTTTCCAGTTGAAGAGTATCCTATGCTGCATGTTCCTTAGTTCCTATGATCATATTGCATCAGAATTTTACAGTTTTCTCTGCTCAGAATTACACATTTATTAGATCTGATACAACTATCCAGAACAATAAAGGAGAATTTAATTGTTTTTTCTTCTTGAATATAGTCCAGCAGAACATCAGATTTATATTATCAGTGACTGTTTGTAGAAAAGGATGCTGATAAACTGGTATAATTGACTCATGCAAAATACCTTCTTTCATTTTAGATCTTAGACAGTCATTTACCTAAATTTAATCCAATGAGTTAAAATTTGAACTCTTAAGGGTCCTTCTCTATTGCCAAAAGCACGTGAATTGATGCAACAAAGTTAGTAGAATCTCAAAAGTGATCACAAACATAAGATTTTATTTGTTTGTTTAATGTCTGACCGTTGTGTGTGTGTCTGTGAGTTATACAAAAAGGGAAAAGAGAAGTTGAGGCCCCACATATAACAAATTAAAAAGGGTTACAGTTGTTTGCATTGGATCCTTCACCAAGGGTATAGAATAGAATGGATAGCACAATCCTTCTCTCTCTCTCATCCAAAACATTGAAAAAGCTAAAATCTGAAAAAAAAAGTCAACTAAAATAATCAAAAAGTTACTTATTTGATTATTACACAATAGCAAGTTACTCTCTATATATCAACCCACCACAAAATTTCCCTTCTTAGGCTTACTCTTCTTGTTTTCTATAGTTAGTTTTGTCCATAAAAAACTTACTCAAAACTCTTACTTTCAGTATTTAATTTTCTTGAATCTTCATTTTCATTTATGGGTTTGCCCAACAAATCGAATATGTTTCTCTCCGAAAAAGATTTTCATCCTACAAACTGTAATTTCTTCCAAGTACTTGGCCCTGTGAAAAATGGTGCTTCAAGAGAAGAAAACCAACTGAAAAGTGCTCTTTCTTTGAAGATTAAAGTGTCTCGTCCAGGAGAAGTAATTAAGATTGAGGAAGAAGGAGATGGATACTGTAAAACCCCGACATCATTAACGGATCGTAATAAGATCCGATTAAAATGCCCACCGGCTCCAAGAAAGCCCAAATCACTTCCATCTACAAAGAGATCATCAAGAAAAGATCAAACAATTTTATTAGATCTCTCCAGTGAAATTGAATCACTTTTTCCTCCAGCTCTTCTAAAAGATCTGCTTAGTGGTAAGATCAAGAACGTTAGGAAAGAGAGTGGAATCATGTGATTCCTTTTCTTGGCAGTTTTTATTGATGTGATGAATTGTTCCATGTTTAGTTGTTCATCTATGATGTAAAATTAATGTGTTACTTCAAATCAATGTCATATTCTCTAGCTCACACGCACGCTCATATAGTTAGGCTAAACTCTGTGCTACAGTGTTGTGCTTGCATCTTTTTTACTGGTCTCAACACTAGAGGATTAATTCTAAAATTTTATCGCGTAAGTCAAATTTATTTATATAAAAATTGTAACATCTACTGTTAATGTCAATGTATCTAAAATTTTAAGTTAATTCAAAAGTGCAGGCATTATCCCTGTAGCGGAGACAGGAACTTGATATGATTATTTCATGTAAGAAATATTTAGATTCTGAAAAATTAATGAATACATTGATCTTCCCAAGATACAAAACATCTTGTTCCATGACTGTTAGCAGTTGGTTGATGAAACCAATGCATTAAAAAGTCTGGGAATATTCTCTCATATGCAACAAGTACATAGGGTCCCAAATTTCAAGCTCGTTTAGCCTAAGTTGGGAAGAATTTATTAAGGCCTTGTATAGGAGAGATTAAAATCAGATTAAAATTGAAAATATAGCCGTTATTGTTGACTTTTATTAGACGAGTGGGACCCAATAACGGCCATATTTTCAATTTTAATTGGCTTTTAATCCCTCCCGAACAGGGCCTAAAGGTAATTAACACACTTATATGTTTTGGCATTTTCGTCATTATTTTCACATTTCATTGCATAAAAAATCATTTTCATCTATTTTCTCAATTAAAAATTATGAAATGACGAATATACAATTCTCTTTAAATAAAACAAAAAGAAAAAGAAAAAATTAATTGCAATCATAGTCCCAAATCTTTTTTAAAAGCGCAAATGAGTCATAAATAAATTATTCAAAGGGTAATTAGTACATAATGTCATTACCTCACACCATTATTGCGAAAAACGTCCATACATTTCTTTTTTTTTTCACCCTCAATTACACATTTGATACAAACCATCTTTTTTATCCATTTTCATCCAATTTCTCAATATAAAACTGTGAAATAATGAATATACCCTTGTATTTAAATAAAAAAAAATATTTTTTTCATTTCTAATTCTTTAATAATTTATTTGGGACTCATTTGCATTTTTAAAATTTTTAAATAAATTTAATTAGGACTCTTTGCAGTTTTTTTTAATAAAAAAATTGGAACTTTGGTTGCAATTAATTCTTTAGATTTTTTATTTAAATATGAAAGTATATTCGTCATTCCGCAGCTTTTTATTCAGAAATTTGATAAAATGGATAGAAATGATGGTTTACGCAATAAAATGTGTAATTAAGGGTGAAAATGTCAAAAAAATAAAATGTATAGACTTTTTTACAATAATAGTGAAATGTAAGGATGTTATGTATTAATTACCCTTTTAATAATTTATTTGATACTCATTTGCACTTTTTAAACAAATTGGGACTATAGTTGTAATTAGTTTTTTTCTTTTTCCCTTTGCTTTATTTAAAGGAAATGATATATTCGTCATTTCACAATTTTTCATTGAAAAAATGGATGAAAATGACTTTTTGCACAATGAAAGGTGAAAATATCAAAAAAATGAAAGATAAAAACGTTTTTCACAATGATAGTGAAAGGTGGGAACGTTATGTGCTATTTATCCAATTTATAAACGATGTACACCTTGTTTCATAAATTTTTATCAATCTCATCAAATTTCAATTTTAATCATATATTTCATTTTTTTTTTATCAACTTTCAATAACACATTTCATAAACATTTACCAAAATATGCCCATATTTTTTATTTTTTTTAACCAAAAGCTTCACCACGTAGGCCATTAGTTTTTAAATAGGCGCAAATAAGTGATAAATAAGTGGATATCATTAGTAGATATATTCAAATGTGCACTTGAAAATAAAATCTGATTATCTATAAATTATTTACAAATTTTGATAAAAGGAGGCTTGAAAGTTACACTTTTTTTTAAACTTAGTTTTATATATCCTTTCTTGCTTTTTTTTTTTAAAAAAAAAATTAATAAAATAACACACGAAAAGAGAGAGAAAAAGAAAAATGATAATTGTGTTTTGAGTTTTGACACACTTATTGAAAAGCCTAAAATGAATTAAACATTGATGAAATGAGCGGATTCCTACTCATAATCATTTAAATATTGTCTTTGTAGGTAAAATTCTCCAATTGAAGGAGAACAATGCAAACGAAGAGGAAAATGACTAAAAGAGTATAAAAATGTGAACTTGGGGACCAAAGTGTAGAAGTGTCAAAAGTTGAAGGACCTCAAATGCAACTTCTATAAGGCATCGTCGAAAGAAAAGTCAAAACTTGATAACTAAACTGTATGAAATCAAATTTCGACTTGGCTCGTGCAAAGGAGCCTAGTGTAAATTATGATATACGTACAGGGCGACGTACGTGATAGAGGGACAACGGTCCCCTATTTATATTTCAATAATCCAACAAAGGGACGAAATCTACATTTTTTCTTATATTTTATCTATTATTTTCTCGAACTTGTAATGTATTTCTCCAACTCTTCTCATTTACTATTTATTTACAATGAGCTAAACATTTTAATGTTGGGATAATTGATGTAACTTAACATAATTTGAATAATTGTTTTTTTAATATAAATGTACTTATTTTCATGTGTATTCACTATTGTATTAAACGTCTTTCATTTATTTAGCAATTAAATGATTGTGTTGAGTTATTTGTACAAATTTTTACAGAATATTGTACATTTTAAACATAATAGTAAATACCCTAAATTATTGTAGGAGATATAAATATATTCCCAACCATAGATTATTCATTGATTTATTTTCACGAAGAATTAATTCAATTAATTTAATCGACATAGAGATATAGTAGACTAAACCAATTGATTATAGCTAATTTTACTTGAGAGGGGAAATTAGTTAAAATAGAAAAATTAGGTACAACATATTAAATGGTAATTTGTTAGCTTGTTGATAAATTAATTAGGCAACGATTAAATGAAATCATGAATTTCAATCATTTTATCATCAAAACTTTCCTCAATTTTTAAATTTGATTATTTGGTTACTTTTGTTGGATTTAAAGTTATTTTTATTATTTTCAAAATCAATTGTGTATTTCATTGTTAGAATCAAATAAACTATTGTTTAATTAAGTAATCATTCTTTGAGTGATCGACAATCTGAACTCTTTAATCTACTTTATTAATTATACGTGATTCATGCGCTCGCGGCATGCACATTTTATTAGCGAACGAATAACAAAAAAATTGTTAGAAAGTGTAAAGGAAATTGTGAATAGAATTTTACTTATCATAAAAAAAAAATACACACACACAAAAGAAAAAACAAAAACAAAAAGGGTATGCATTATATTGTCGTTAGGGAAAAAACCCACTAAACATGCAATGGACTAGAAGTTGGGTCTAACCAAACTTTCTTTAGCGTGTCATGCAAAATGAATACTTGATTAATTTATTACTTGTTTGGAAAGTGTTTATATTATTCATAAATAAAGAATGAATGATAAATAAGTAAGTAGTACTTGTCGATCCATCAAAATGTACGAATAATCCCCTGTTTGAGCCACATTATTTTTTTCATTCTGATTCTTCTACTCATTTTCAACCATACATTTTTCAATAAAATAATATTTTTCTATCATATCAATAATTTTTCCTTCTTTTTTCAACCACACATTCTCGATCAAAATACATTCTTCCAAAATACATTCTTCCAAAATAATGTGACTCAAACATAATTGAGAACAGTATATGTTGGTGTGGTCAAAATAAATTGTCACAACTCACAAGCATGGAATGACAAGGGAAGGATGAAGTGACTAACATGATAGAGTCAACAAAATTGAGAACAGTTTTTGACAATTTAAAGTCCAAGGACCATTTGCAAAGATTCTTTATAAAATATTTTATTCATTTTTTATTTTGTTAGTGTGAGCTGATATTTAGGTGAGGGTTCGTACGTGATTTGGGCCCTCAGTGTCAGTCAGATATGGCCGCCGCACAAGAAGCTAGCAACAAAGAGGCGTTCCGACAGGCCGTCGGTAATACCCTTGAACGCCGTTTGTTTTACATACCCTCTTTCAAGATCTACCGTGGCGTTGCTGGTCTATACGATTATGGACCCCCCGGTTGCGCCGTTAAGTCTAACGTCCTCGCCTTCTGGCGTCAGGTGACTATTCTGGACAGGAAGTTGTTAATTATGATTCAATTTCATTGATATCCATTCATTTTCGGAACTGTTGTTTAGCTAAGAATTCCTGAATTAATTGCTCAAAGTTTTTTTATTTACAGTAATACACAGGCGCAGTTTTGTTTATTTTCTTAGGATTAAGGTTTGGAATACTTATGTATTTTATAGTGTGAATTTTATGCATCGTAATATATATATATTTGAATGGGTATATAGCCTGTGTCTTTATTAGAAAGTTTATAAATATCAAATTTAGCTAAATAATCTGTTGATATCGGGGGGTTGGGGGTGACTTACTCAAAACTGTGCAGAATTTACGAATTTGGGAAATTTCAAACAAATTTAGCGACAGATGACACATGTTTATCGAGGATAACAATAATAAAATTCAGGAATGGCCTTTACTTCTACACTAAAAGAAAGTCCAAATTTGCGCTTGGCATGCCTTTGACAACTAAAATTTCTGTTAAAATGTCAACATGGCAATCATTAAATATCGAAATCAACTCTTATATGAATTAAATATTGATTGGATAGTTTCAGTAGTCCCAGTGCTCCTCAAAGAATTTCTTGTTCATTGAGTCTTGGACTCACCCAACGTATGCCAAGTAAATATTTGATTTAATGCTCGATACAATCTTTTATCTCAATTTACATTGGACACTAAGAGAACTGAAGCTAATTGGCTCTTTTGTATGCTAGTCTCGTGTGATAAAAATTCTTCAGTTTTTTATTTTTTATTTTTGCGGAATTTCAA